GATGAATTTGACAGCGACAATGTTTCAAAATTAGAAAGGGAAGCAGTGATTATTTGATTATATAGACGCTTCGCCCCTGTTAATTCCATCATATCCGCCTCCTGGCTAGGCCTACTACCTTTACAATTTGCACTTGCCAATTCCGCTTGTTCGTTAAGCTAGTAATCACTTATATTTAATTCCACCATTTCCATAGACAAAAGTGTGATATGGCTCCATTTTCATATCATTTTTAAAGATTCTGTAAGTTAGGGACTTTGACAAGCCTAGTTCACTGCTATGTCCCCGAACAGGTTTCTATGGCGTTGTCGTGACCCACACACGAACTGATTCCACATTTCGAATGTTTAAATAATGTATTTATTTTTTGCTTTTCAAGTTTAAATTCAGCGTTATTTTATTACACAAAATACCTTTTCTGGGTTACTCTTAGATACACGGCTGTTGAAGAGGTGTTCATTTGACAGGTTTAAATTTAGGCATAAATTTTGGCGTCCGGATGATGAAACATAACTCTTCTCAATTTTGGTGCAGATCCGCTCAAAACTGGTAAAACTCCCAATCTCCCACCTACTTCAAGAACCCAGACTTCAACAAAAGTAACACTTAACGTACTTCGTAGATTTGTAATCGAACTATAAATACGGTCTTTTGTAACTTCCTGGTTGTTTTTGTTTTTGTATAGTATGGAGCTGTGTACACTCTCTTATCACTAGAGTAATTGCTTGCATTTCTTCGTGGACAGGTCTTATGTGGAAAAATACAGCGTTATCATTATTATTTTTGTGGAATGACATGACCTGAAGCGGTCCAAGGGAAGCAATTACGGATAAAATCAAAATATATGTCAAAACACGATGATTTCCCTATCTTGGACTAGGGAATCCCGACAGGTCAAGCTATTCAATAAAACTAATTGTTTCGTTTATTTCTATCGTTTTACTCTAAAATTTTACTAATCAGCATTCTGTCAAGCAATATGTATACCTCTACGATGCACCAGTCGACTCTCTGTTTCCTTTTCCAAGTGTGTTCTTTGTCCTCTCTCTCTCTCTCTCTCTCTCTCTCTCTCTCTCTCTCTCTCTCTCTCTCTCTCTCTCTCTCTCTCTCACACACACACACACACACACACACACACACACAATATTCAATCTTTGGAAATG